GGTGTAAAATTCTAGACTGTAATTCCCATTGCCCTTTTGCCTACCCCAGTGTATTGCAGTTTTACTGTATGATAAAGCTTAGATGAGAATGCTGTCAGGAGGCAGAGTAGTGAACGCGGATGCATTGAGCTGCCTTCCATTAGCAGGTATGCCACCAGTGGTATCCCTCCATGGAAGAGTCTGCCACTACAATTAATTCTCTGGAGAAGATACCAGTTATAGCTGTTATGGACTAGACAAACCACCAACCCCACCACCACGCTCCCCCCCCCCCCCCAAAAAAAAATATCAAGAAGATAGCCTAGATCTTAATGTTTTAACTTAAAGGCAAGTTTAAGGTGCTGTGTTCCAGATTTGATTTGATTGGTCAAACTACTAGGCTTTAAGCAAAATATGCTTTATTCTTGCACCACAGTTGAAATATAACAAAAACAGAAGATTAGCACAACTTTATTGCAATACTTAAACAAAATAATAATATTTAACTACTACTCATAAATTAGCAGCATCCCATAAACACATCCTTGGCAAAGGCACATTCAACAAAATAGATTTGCTCATGTGCTGTCTCCAGTCCAGGAGAAAGAGGGGGGGAAAAAAAAAACAAAAGAACGAATCTACCAGCAAAGACAGAGCTTAAGGTTTTTACAGCAGCAGAGAGAGAGCTATATCTAGCAGCTTCAACTCCAAAATCCCGAACTTCAACAACTGAAAACAAAACTAAAACCCTGGGTCTGCGTGAGCCTGACTCCTCCCACTCGTTTCTTTTGTCTGTTAGTTTTGGGGTTTTTTTTTAAAAAAAAAGTTTACTCTCTGCTTTCCATGGAGCAGATGCCTTCACCAGATTTACAACATATCTCCAAGAGAATCAGGACAGACAAATCCCTTTTAAATGCACAATGTCACAGAGCTAACATTATCAGATTTTGGACACAGATCCAGTCCTTTCCAAACTGAAACAGTTGGTATTAATGGAGGTAACCAAGGGGCCATTGCACATCTTTTGCAACATAGAGTCTGGGAGGTATTGGTCACAAATAATGGGCTATTGTTTACCAGGAGTGACTTTTAGTTACTACTTAAAGTTGAATGGGATTCAACATATTAGGACATTTCCATACTACCCATCATCTAGTGGCCTGGCAGAAACAGTGGTTCAACCTTTGAAGGCTGGAGTGAAGAAACATCCTATAGCCTCCCTAGATACCAGTTGTCACAGTTCTTATTGATTAGAGAACCACTCTACACGCAACTACAGGGATAGTACCAGCAGAGTTGCTAATGGATAGAAGATTCTGCAGCAGGCTAAGTCTGATCTTCCCAGACCTGGGAGGCATAGTGGGGGTGAAACGGCATCAGGAACTCCAATGCCAAACCCAACACTCTGCCAAGCGAGAGAGGTGGTTTGATACAGGGGACTTGGTTTGGAGCAAGAATCATGGTAATGGCTCCACATGGGTAAGAGGCATGCTAGCGAGATCAGGGCCAGTGACCTATAAAGAGCAGATAGGTGTGACTGTCCTGATAAGCATGTGGACTATTTGAAAGTTGCAAATTCACAGACTGCTGTTCCCCTCAATCTTCAGAAATACTTCTCGAACCCGAGAATTTGCCATCTCCATCAAACGTTGTCGACTCCTCTGACTTGGAGACAGACGTGACAGAAGTAGCTGTCTTGACACTTCTGCCTCCAAAAGAAGGAAACAAAAATTTACCAAGACGCTCCAGGTGCAGGAAGATGAGCTTCTGTTTGTTTCATGCATTCGGTGTCAGATTCAGTGTTGCAGGTATTATGACGCCCCAGGACGCGCTCAAAAGAATCAGATCAGCCTCGTCCATAGATTCAAAGGAATGTAGTGATTGTAATGAGGTCAGCCAGCTGGACATCGTAGGATGGGTTCCCTGGTTGGACCATATTGACAAATCCCAATCAGGGTGACCTGGCCGACACAATACTGAGATGCTGGATGTCACACTCTGAGAGGGGCAGGGCTATTGTCAAAGGCTATGCATTTGTAAATGATTGGTGATGGAATGCCAGCCTCTGAAGTTATTTCAGTGGGTGCCAAAGGCCATCGACCTGATGACAGCAATCTGGCTGCTGGGTAGCTGACCAACTTAGGAATGTGAGTGATATTGGCAGAAGCTTTCAGACTGTTCAAAGGTCAGATGGTCTCTCTCGGTCATTAGCGCTCTCGTGTCCTCTCCGTTGTGCACCCTGTTTGTCAAGCTTGTAAGCCTGAGAGAAGCTAGCTTGTTTTGTCTCACTAACTGCTGTAAACGGTTGCTTTTAACCAGTCACTCAGACTTCATAATTTGAACCAATTGCTTTATGCTCCCAATAGAGCAGTGAAGGATTGGGAAACTGAAGGAACCCTTCTATTGAGTTGCTTCCCCAGTTTCGTTCCCATCCACACAAACACCACTTTTTTTTTGGGCTGTGCGTTGGGGGCAGATTGGAAGGGAGTTAGAGTTTTAACTAATAGAATCTTATGTCAACAATTCATCGTGGTGTTAGAGTTTCTCTTATTTGTGATAAATAATTCTTCTTAAATATGAAAGCCTGGTGTGTTTTCCGTCAACCTGGGATTGAGGGGGATAAATTGGTATATACTTGATAAAATCTTTGACTTTTGTGATGATGCCAGGAATAGCAGGGTTTGATTTCCAACGCATTATACTGGGATCTGACAGCAGCTTCCTTTGTTCTCAGCCATAGACATTTGAAAATGAAGTATCCAAATCTGCTGTGGATTTGAGTGAGGCAGAATTATCATTGCGTACGATCCTAATTTCTTGCATTCTGAGTTAAAACTACTCCAATTTAAATACGACTTGAAAGTACTGAGGCGTGACAGGAATTGCAGATGTGATTCAACATCTGTGACATTTAGATCAATTTTCTGTGCTTATCCAGAAGAATTTATCATTGTACATCTTTTTAATATCTTCAACCTCCTCTGTACAGTGAGTTGGAGTTCCTGTCAGTCAGGACTTGTACTGTAAGATGATTTTATGGTATTTCTCCTAATGAATAACAGAATGAAGAAATTACTAGCGTTAATTTGTGGCAAAGTCCAGAGTACAACTGTTGAGTTTCATAGGGTTGCGTGACTTGAGTAACCATTAACTCAAAAACTATTTATAATGTGGTAAAATCAACTAGAGTTGTGTTAAGAAAAAGCGCTGATTTTGATTTATTTATCCATACTGTATGATTTGTCTTTTGTCTGAATATTACATTTTTCAATTGCAGAACAAAGGGGTGTTGCTGTGCAATTTAAATGCGAATGTGTATGGATGTTTGAAATGCTGGTAGACAGTGACAATCCTGAATCATGCTCAGAATTAACAGAAAAAGTGAAATGCTTCCAAATCTACTTCAGGTTGACTAAACTCTCTCAAAATATGGGATGTGGTTGAGTGAAGCAATTAAAGTAATGTGGTAACAAATCCAGCACATGGAACAGTACTACCTATCCCTCATTATATAAACAACTGGCTGCTCCAAACAGGATATCTCCAAATTCCATGCAATTTCGATGAAATCCCTCTGAAATTTGCACTATAACAAATCTCTTTGCAACAACACTGTTCAGCACAGTCTCCCACCATTGTAAGTGAAGGTAAGTGAAGGTATACAACAGCTCTGAAATAGCCATATAACTGATAAGAGACAAGAGTTGGCAAGTAAAATAATGAATTCAGACAGAAAACAAAGCATCCTGAATCGGTGACATTGGCCATGTTCTCATGACATTTAAAATCATTCCGAGAAGGATAGAAACAAGAGGTTTAATTTTCAGAATTAACAGAAAAAATGAAATGTTTCCAAATCTACTTCAGGTTGACTAAACACTCTCAGTTGATCCATTCAGTCTTGCAGTAATTTATCCCAGAAAAGTAGTCTTGCATTGTTCTTTGATCTTATGGTTTGCTTTTTTTTCTTTCTTGAATCAATAAATATTATATTACACTGTTTTTAATTCATAAGTATCCAAAATATGATTTGTAGCTCTTTATGAAACATACCCTGCCCATGCTTTCTTTAAAAGCTATATGTAAATAAAAGTATCACATTAGACCACTAAGCTTGGACCTCAACAACTGATGGATAAATTTCTTCTGTTTAAGTACCACATACTTAGTAAGATGATCTTGGCATGCATAATTAACAATAAATAATATTTGTATTAGTTAATTAGGATTAGAAATCCTGGTGAATGTGGTGTTTTTCCCTCTCCCTGAAAGGCAGTACCTAAGCCAATTATAAGACTTGACTTTTATCAATGTGGTTGGCTCTCAGTGCTTCATCCCTTTTTAATGATCCCTTCCCAAGTAAGGGAAATTAAAATTAAAATTTCTGAAAATTAAACCTCTTGTTTCTATCCTTCTCGGAATGATTTTAAATGTCATGAGAACATGGCCAATGTCACTGATTCAGGATGCTTTGTTTTCTATCTGAATTCATTATTTTATTTGCCGACTCTTGTCTCTTATCAGTTATATGGCTATTTCAGAGCTGTTGTATACCTTCACTTACAATGGTGGGGGACTGTGCTGAACAGTGATGTTGCAAAGAGATTTGTTACAGTGCAAATTTCAGAGGGATTTCATGGAAATTGCATGGAATTTGGAGATATCCTGTTTGGAGCAGCCAGTTGTTTATATAATGAGGGATAGGTAGTACTGTTCCAAGTGCTGGATTTGTGACCACATTGCTTTAATTCCTTCACTCAACCACATCCCATATTTTGTATGTTGACATGGCAGCTGTTTCAATCGCTAATTCTAGTGCATTTTACATCCCTAAAACTTGGTCTTTTAATTTTTTTCAAAATCAGGGATTTTATTGGTTACATCTATTAGTAAGGGTAATGTGAACTCCAGGCACAAAATTCAAAGACAACCTTTCGCGACCAAATTATCCTTACATAGCACACATTATTGTAATTAATCCTACAAGTTCTAAATGTGGTATTTGTTTTACATCTCTGCAGAATCCTGATACGTGGCTAGGTGGAGATGATGAGCCGTTAACAGGCTTTACTTGGCGAGGTGGATGTGAACGTGAAACTACTGGAATACAAGTTTGGAGTGAAGTTTTCGTCATTAACAAGTCTGATGGAAGCCAGGTATGCTCAACAATGAACTTGTGCCACCAAAGAAATTTCACACTTTTCATGTGTTTTGGCTTTTTCTATCAATAGGAACATTGTCTGCAAATGCTCTATATTTCCCTGATGTGTGTCTTTTTGATCCATTGATCCAAGGAATTTCAAATTCTCGCCTTTTACTGTTCTGGCTAAGATTAAGTTAACCATTAGTCGTTTTTGGAAGAATGGGGATCTGAAGAAATAGTTTGGTTTGGTGGAGAAGAAATGAAAATATAAAAGCAATCCTTGTCCCCATGGCCACTATCCCTAGCCACCAGTGATCTGTTTTAAGAATACTTTTACACTGAAAACTAGAGAAGTTTGTTATAATAATGTTGAAACAATTGTCATTACTTAATTACAATTCAAGTTTTATCTTGAGTAATTTGAAATCAAAGAAAACCTCAATTTAGCTCTTGGATGATTTTTTTCTTCTCCCCTTCATTGGTCCTTTTTCCCAGTTCTACTAAGGTTACTTCAAATCTCACTCCAAAGTGTAACTTGATCAGCTAAGCTAATGATATTGGATTATCAAGGGAAATTGCATTTCACTAAAGACTGCTAATTCTGGAATCCCATGTAATAAAGATTTTTTTCCCTCGTCACAGTCTGCTGATCTGCCTGTAGAGGATGACAATTGTGTCATTTAGTGTTAGCAAATGAGGGAGGTATGTCCTCCCTATCGAATTTAGAGGAATGAGTATTTTTCCTTGATCAAAATATATTTTTAATAAAAACTATAAAGTTTACCTGTGCTGAAACTGCATATAATAGCTTACAATGTCTTTGAAGAGCTTTGAGCAGTGTTATATTATAACAGAATATGATTAGAAGATGTGAAGAATAGGCGCTTCCTCTGAGGGATACTAGTACCCCATGATCTATATCCTGATGCGAGTTGAGTGCCTTCAGGAGAAATGGATTAAAATGCTTTTTAAAAAATATTACTAAAATATTTTTAATGTACTGTTGTCTGATAAGTTGACCAAAACGATCCAAATGGGCATCTCTGGTGGGTTTATTCGGTGCAACGTGCCTTGCATGCCTTTTATGTTGGAGTTGGTTACTTGGATAATTTAAAATACTATGTAACATTTGAGTAAAATAAAACCAGTAACTGTGGTTGCTGGAGATCAGAAAAACACAAAAACAGAAATTGCTGGGGAAACTCAGCTAGTCTGGCAGCATCTCTGGAGAGAAAAAGCAACAGTGATCCTTCTTCAGAGAAGAACATTTGAGTACTGATTTAATTATCTGGTACAAGACCTTGGGATAAAGGAAGGAGAGTGGCAAGTGATGGTGATACATTGTTCACCTACCCTTCTTGTGAATTATGTTGACCTTATTTTCATGTTTCAGAGAAGGCTCTAGGGAATGGCAAGTTAGACAATTCGGTTGTAATAGGGGAACATTGCTTTTCCAAGGGGGATTGTATTGATTTCCTATTTGATGACATATTCAAAACTGCTTGCCATTTGGAAGTATTTCTGCCCACTAAAAATTAAGATTGACTGACTAGATTTGGATTGTAAAGTTTTGAGAGAAGCTGGTGAATTAAAATAACCAGCATAAACTCTAAATGAAAATCAAAGGCCTTAGCATCCTTCCTAAAATGTGGGGCTCAGAAATGGTCATATTATTTTAAGCATCCAACTGGAAGTTTTCATTATTTTATGTCCTTTTTTACATTCTGCCTCCTTTTGTAAAAGTTTGGATCCAGAATTTTTTTAAAGAACTTTTTTTTTGGCTTTTCCTGCTGCCTCTAAAGATTTACACATGCACATCCAGGTCTGTCTGGACTGTTACTCTTTAAAATTATGCCATTTTAATTTATATTGCCTCATCTCTTTCTTTTACCAAAGTTAATAACTTCATACATCTCTGCTTTAAATTTTATCTGCCCACTTCACTGTCTGAAGTTTGACCTCCCTGAAGTTTACTATTCTCACTGCTTACTGCATTTAAGCTTTATCTTTTGCAAACTTTAAAGTTATGCCCTTATCCCAGTTTTACATAAACTTTGAGCTGGATTTTGAACAACTGGAGATTCTTGCTGCGCGTGTAGGAATTATCAAGAACACGAGTCTTGGAATTTCCATTAGGCAGGGATTACAGGTGAATTGTCCTATCTTGAGTACATCCAATTGTAAGGGAGGGGGAATATTTTTGTAGTAGTGTTGCTGAATTGTAATCATTTCTCGGGAAGGGGAGTTATACATTTTGGGAGCATTGTGGAACATGGCACACCATGGGTAGGGTAGTTTAAGGGTGTACTACACCGTAGTACTGGCACAGCAGAAAGATTATAGACATCCGATTTGATAATTAGGGGTTTGACCATAAGCCTGATGTGACAGAATCCAAAAGGAGTAAATGATAGGAGTGCAATTAGAGAAGAACTTGGAAAAAGAAGATTCAGTTGTCATGGTCCACTTAGAGATGTAGGAAAGAAAAAAAAGCCCTATTAAGTAAATATCAGGGTTTAGAAGTGCATCAAAAAGAAACAAATTCTGGGTATTCCTGGGTTTATAGTCTGAGCTGAGCTGAGAATGGGGATGGGTTAAGCAGATCAGGAAAGTGAAAGATTGGTGAGGAAAGTTGTCCCATTTCATGGGATATTGCCTCCAATACTGGGACATGAAAGAGCGATATTGTTGGGACAGGTTCCACCTGACTCTCTCTGGGACCAACTGAAAGGGATGAGCACGACTTTGGATAGTTAGTCTGCAACATATTTCATATTTATCTACTCCATTTGATTTCTTACTATGGGTTATCATCTCCAGTTTCCTTTTAATTTTTAAATGCCATGTGCATTACTTTATAATCAATTCATCTTATACCAGTTGCTCCTTCTATTTTATTTTCAGTAGTTCTTTTATTCTTTGTTCTAAAAGTGCGTTTGCTTCTTTACCATTTGTTTCCTGTCTTGGTCTGATCTTTATTCTCTAGCCCCACTTATTGCCACTTCAACTATACGTTATTCTTGTTGAATTTGAGAAATGTGACAGGAGGTGATGGCCTGGTAGTATTTTCGCTGGACTATTGATCTGGGGACCTGAGTTTGAATTCCACTACCGCAGATGGTGGAAATTGAATTCAGTAGAAATCCAAAATTAAAAGTCTAATGATGACCATAAATTTATCATTATCATTTGTCAGAATAACCTATCTGGTTCACTAGTGTTCTTTAGGGTAGGAAACTGTCATTCTTACCTGGTCTGGCCTATATGTGACTCCAGGCCCAAGGAAATGTGATTGACTCTTAACTGCCCTCTGGACAGTTAGGGTTAGGCAATAAACATCGGCCTAGCCAATGATACGCTCTTTCTATGAACGAATTTTTTTTTTTTTTTGAAAGTCCATGGTAAGAAATCAGATGAAGTAGTTAAAGCCTGCAATTTATTTCACATTTATTTTCCCCCATTCATTTGTGGGACTTGAGTGTCGCTGAATGGCCAGCATTTATTGCCCATCCCTAGTTGCCCTTGAGAAGGTGGTGGTAAGTGTCGTCTTTAACTGCTGCAGTCTACATGCTGAAGATTGACCCACAATGTCCTTAGGGAGGGAAGTTGAGGATTTTGACCCAGCGACACCGAAAGAACAGTGATATATTTCCAAGTCAGGATGCTGAGTAACTTGAAGGGGAACTTGCAGGTGGTGGTGCTCCCTTGTCCTTCTACATGGAATTTGTTGTTGGTTCAGAAGGTGCAGTCTGAGGATCTTCAGTGAATTTCTGCAGTGCGTCTTGTAGGTAGTACATACTGCTGCTGCTGAGTATAGTAATGGATGCTTGTCAATGTGGTGCTAGTCAAGTGGGCTACTTTTTCCTGGATGTTGTCAAGCTTCTTGAGTGTTGATGGAGCTGCATCTATCCAGGCTAATGGAAGGATTATTCCATCACACTCCTGACTTGTGTCTTGTAGATAGTAGACAGGCTTTTGGGAGTCAGGAGGTGATTTACTTGCTGCAGTGTTCCTAGCTTTTAACATGCTCTTGTAGCCACTGTGTTTATGTGGGGAGTCCAGTCAAATTTCTGGTCTATGGTAACCCTGGGGGTGTTGATGGGGGATTTAGTGATGGTAACACCGTTGAATGTCAAGGAGCAGTGGTTAGATTCTCTTACTGGAGATGGTCATTGCCTGGCATTTGTGTGGTACAGCTGTAACTTGCCACTTATCAGCCCAAGCTTGGGTGTTGTCCAGATCTTGTTGGATTTGAACTTGGACTGCTTTAGTATCTGAGGTGTCACGAATTGTGCTGAATGTTGCACGATTATTAGCGAACATCCCCATTCTGGTCCTTTGATGGGAAGGCCATTGATGGAGCAGCTGAAGATGGTCGGATCTAGAACGCTACCCTGAGAAACTCCTTCATTGATGCCCTGGAGCTAAGATGACTGACGTCCAACAACTGCAGTCATCTTCAATGTGCCAGGTATGACTCCAACCTGTGGATAGTTTGCCCTGATACCCATTGATTCCAGTTTTGCTAGGGCTCCTTCATGCTACACTCGGTCAAGTGCAGCCACGATGTCGAGGGCTCTGTCACTCTCGCATTTCCTTTGACGTTCAGCTCTTCTGTCTGTTTTTGAACCAAGGCTGTAATGAGGTCAGGAGCTGAGTGGTCCTGGCAGAACCCAAACTGGGCATCACCGAGCAGGTGTTGCTTGATAGCACTGTTGATTACACCTTCCATTGCTTTCCTGATAATCGAGAGTAGACTGACGGGGTGATAATTGGGCAAGTTTGTAAGCTGGGCAATTTTCCACATTGTTGGTCAGGTGCTAGTGTTGTTACTGGAAGACTTTGGCTAGGAGAGTGGTATGTTCTAGAGCACAGTCCTCAGAACTTTTTCAGGAATATTGTTAGGGCTCGTAGCCTTTGCACTATCTATTGCCTTCAACCATTTCTTGATACCATGTGGAGTAAATTGAATTGAATTGGCTGAAGACTGGTATTTGTGATGCTGGGGACCACTGGAGGAGCCTGAGATGGATTATCCACTTGGCATTTCTGGCTGAAGTTTGCTGTGAATGCTTCAGCCTTATGTTTTGCCCTGATATGTTAGGCTCTTCCATAATTGAGGAACAGGATATTTGTGGAGCTGTCTCCTTTAGCAAGTTGTTTAATCGTCCACTGCCATTCATAACTGGACGTGGCAGGACTGCAGAGCTTAGATCTAATCTGTTGTGGAATTGCTTAGTTCTGTCTGTCACTCGCTGCTATGCTTTTTGGCATTCAAGTTGTACTGTTTGGTAGCTTCACCAGGTTGGCACCTCATTTTTATATATGCCTGGTGCAGCTCCTGGCATGCCCTCCTGTACTGACCATTTAACTAGGGTTGATCCCTGGGAATGGTTGAGTGAGATATATGCCAGTCATGAGGTTACAGGTTGTGCTGGAGTCCAGTTGTGCTGCTGTTGTTGACCCAAAGCGCCTCATGGATGTTCAGTCTTGAGTTGCTAGATCTCTTTGAAATCTCCTTTGAAATCTGTCCCAATTAGTATGGTGATAGTGCCACACAACATGATGGCGGGTATTCTCAATGTGAAGGTGGGACTTTGTTTCCACAAGGACTGACTGGTGATCTCTGCTGCTGATGCTGTCATGGAAATATGCATCTGCAGCTGGCATATTGGTAAGGATGAGTTCAAGTATGTTTTTTTCCCTTTTGGCACCTTCACCACGCACCGCAGACCCAGTCTGGCAGCTCTGTTCTTTAGGACCCAACTAGCTTGATCTGTACTGCTGCCAATGTTAAAATCCCCCACCCAGAGTTTGTGTCCTTGCCACCCCCTGTGCTTCCGCCAAGAGTTGTTCAGCATGAAGGAGTACCAATTTATTAGCTGAAGGAGGAAGGTATGTGGTAATCAGCAGGAGAGTCCTTTGCCCATATTTAACCTGAAGCCATGAGACATCGTGGGGTCCGGAGTCAATGCTCAAGACTCCAGGCAACTCTCAATTGTGTATACCACTGTGCAGCCACCTCTGCTGAATCTGTTCTGTCAGAATGAAAGCAGATAGCTAGGGATGGTGTTGGTGATGTCTAGGACATTGTCTGTAAAGTATGATTCAGTGAGTATGACTGTCAAATTGTTGCTTGATTAGTCTGTGAGACAGCTCTCCCAGTTTTGGCGCTAGCCCTGGATATTAGTAACAAAGATTTTGCAAGGAAGACAGGTCTGTTTCTGCTGTTGACTTTTCTGGTGTCTAGGTTGATACCAGGTGGTCTATTTGGATTCATTTCTTTGTTGCAACATCGTAGCAAGAGAGACCTTGACTATTCGCTCTATCCATGCCCCTCATGATTTTCTAACCCTCTAGAAGGTCACACCTCAGCGTCTGAAAAAAGGCCTCAGCCGCTTCCTGTAACTCAAACCCTCCAGTCCTGGCAACATCCTTATAAATCTTTTCTGTACCCTCTCAAGTTTAACAACATCCTTCCTATAGGATGGTGACCAGAACTGTATGCACTATTCTAAAAGTGGCCTCACCAATGTTCTGTACAGCCACAACATGACATCCCATCTCCTATACTCAATGCACTGATTAATGAAGGCAGGTGTGCCACCTTCACCACCCTGTCTTTCTGTGACTCCACTTTCAAGAAACTATGCACCAGCACTCCTAGGTCTCTGATCGGCAACACTCCTCAGTGCCCTACCAATAACTGTATAACCCTGCCCTTGTTTGCCTTACCAAAATGCAACCCATCCCACATATCTAAACTAAACTTCATCTGCCACTTCTTGGCCCATTGGTTCATCTGATTTAAGGGTCTGTTATAATGAGAGAATCATTTTCACTGTCCACTACACCATCTATTTTGGTGTCGTCAGGAAATTTACTAACCGTAACTGATATTCACATCCAAATCTTTTAAATAAATGAGAAGAAGCAGTGGACCTAGCACTGATTCGTGTGCACACTGATTCACCGGTCACAGGCCTCCAGTCTGAAAAACAACCATCCACCACCACTCTTTGTCTCCTACCTTCAGCCAATTGGATACAAAATTGGCTTAGCTCCCCCTGGATCCCATGTGATCTAATCTTACTAATCAGTTTACCATGTGGAACCTGTCAGACGCTTTGTTGAAGTCTACACTGACAACATCTACTGCTCTGCCTTTGTTGATCTTCTTTGTAATACCCTCAAAAAAAACTCAGTCAGCCAAAACGAGAGGGCATAGGTTTAAGGTAAGAGGAGAAAGAGGGATAACTTTTTCAGGCAGAGAGTAGTGCATGTATGGAATGAGCTGCCAAAGGACGTGATGGCGGTGGGTACAATTTACAACATTTAAAAGGCATCTGGATGAATTTATCAATAGAAGGGCTTAGAGGGATATGAACCAAATGCTGGCAAATTAGTGAAGGTAGATCACATGGGATTCAGGGAGAGCTTGCCAATTGGCTACAAAATTGGCTTGACAGTAGGAGTCATAGGCTGGTGATAGAGAGTTGATTTTCAGACTAGCGGCCTGTGACCAGCGGTGTTCCACAGGGATTGGTACTGGGTCCGCTTTTGTTTGTCATTTAAATAAATGATTTGGATGAGATTATAGGAAGAACGCTTAGGTTTGCAGAGGACATCGAGATTGGTGGTGTAGTGGACAGTGAAGACAATTACTTAAGGTTACAAAGAGATCTTGATCAATTGGGTCAATGGGCTGATGGGTGCCAGATTGAGTTTAACTTGGATAAATGAAACGGATTGCATTTTGGTAAAATAAACAAGGGCAGGACTTATACAATTAATGGCAGGGCCCTGGGTAGTGCTACAGAACAGAGACATTGGTGAGACCTCTTCTGGAGTAGTGTGTACAGTTCTGGTCACCCTGATATAAGAAGGATATTATTAAACTGGAGAGGATTCAGAAAACGTTTACCAGGATGTTGCTGAGTTATAAAAATGTAGGCTGGTTGTGCTGGGACAACTTTTACTGGACCATAGGAGGTTGAGGGGTGATCTTATAGAGGTTTATAAAATCATGAGGGGCATAGATGAGGTGAATGACAAGGGTCTTTTCCCTAGGGTGGGGGAGTTCAAAACTAGGGCGCATATTTATAAGGTGAGAGGAGAAAGTATTAAAAAGGGAATGAGGGGCAATGGTTTTAAAGTGGTTCATGCCAGAGGAAGTGGTGGATGCAGGTACAGTTACAACATCTAAAAGACATTCAGATATTCATGAATAGGAAAGGTTTGGAGGGATTTGGGCCACATGCAGGCATGTGGGACTAGTTTAGTTTGGAAACAGAATTAGCAATGACTGCTTGGACCAAATGGTTTGTTCCTGTGCTGTATGACACTGACTGCTACGCCATTCCAGAGGACAGTTGAGAGTCAACCACATTGCTTTGGGTCTGGAGTCACATGTAGGCGAGACTATATTTTCTTCCCTGAAGGACATTAGAAAGCTAGATGGGTTTTTTGATGAGTGACAATGGTTTCAATGCCATCAGTCAATTCTTAATTCCAGATACTTTTTATTTATTTGAAATTATTTGCTGTGGCAGGATTCGCACCCTGGATCCCAGAACATTAGCAGAGTTTCTGGATTAATAGTCTAGAGATAATGTCACTAGGCCATTGCCTCAGCTGCATTACATCCTTCCACCTGCGCAAGATGGACAACAGCTACCGATAATGCTCGAACCAGTAATTAGCTTGTGAATTCCCAGCGAAATTGCTGCTCTGTATCCCAGGCTGCTGAAGGAAATGGGAATCATTTCTTGATGAAGTGGGGTAGTGCCAAAGAACTAGATTCACAAATATGACTCCTTATTCAAGAAAGTGTGAGAGGACAATCCCTGTATCTGCTGGCCAGTTACTTTAAGATAAGTATTTTAAAACCTTGCACACCCATAGTATGGTTGGGAGGTGGAGAGAGAAACAGCTTGTATTTGAGACTCTGGGATAATCAGCAGACTGTGTTTGACCAATTTATTTGAATGGAGAATGTTGCTGAAGGAAATGCAGTAGAATTTGTTTATATAGATTTTCAGAAAGTTTTTACAACTTATCATGTTTACAAAATGGAGACTCATGGAATAGCTGGATCATTATCCAATTCAATTATAAAGTTCACGAATTCCTATGGTTACTTTGACTACACCACCTCAGGCCCTGCTTCCAGCAATTCTTTTCTCCCAGTTTCTCTGTCTCCATTGCATCTATTCTGATCATGCTGGTCTGTCCATAGGAATGACCATGTATTCCCAAGATACTTGTCATTTCAATAAACCATCTTACGCTCTTGCTAGCATTTGTGTTCTGGGCCTGCTGCAATGTTTCAATGAAACAATGCCTCATTTACTGCCTAGGCACTTTATAGCCTTGGTCTCAATATTAAATTCCATAAACTTTGGAATTTACTTTGCTGTTAGTATAGAAAACCCATTCCCTCCCTTTCACACCTTAATTTATTTCCATTTTACATCTTTGTTTTCTCTTTCTCCACCATTAACAAACCCTTTGTCTTTTGAACTGGGCCTCTATTTAATTGAATTATATTCAATTTTTTAAAAAAATTCCAACAGTTTTCAGCTCTGAAGAGGAATTATACAGGACTCAATGCTAATCTCTGTTTCTCTCTCCATAGGTGCAACTAGACTTGCCTAGTTTCTCGAAATTCTGTCTGTTCATATTTCCTGCATCTGCAGTATTTTGCCTTTACAGCAAATGTTGGTGTGTTCAAACATTTAGTTTTATATTTTTTAAGAACACTATCTCAAACTTGGAGTCATTTCCTTCTAGGTTGCAGTGCTTTTAATGGATACTCAGGGGGCCTTTGACAGTCAGTCAACCATAAGAGACTGTGCCACAGTTTTTGCTCTCAGCACTATGACAAGTTCAGTTCAGGTAAAGATTGTTTTTTTTTAAACTGCTTACTGGGGGTACAGCATTTTTGTCCTATTGCTATTACATAGTCATTCGTTTGGAGAGATTAAAAGTATCCCAGTTTTAATAATTGGTAATCAATTGTGTAGTTTTTCTGTATAGAATAATTGTTAATGTCTGTGGAATTAAATTTATGATCATTTGTCAGCTTCTCAATAAGACGAGGAGCCAGAAAATGTCATCAGTATATTTAATAATGCAACCATCCACCTGAAAAGATATGTAAGACCATTTAATAATAATCTTTTTAAATAAGTACATTTTTTAAAATGCAAGGCCATATGGAACAGGAAGGAAGTGAGACTGATAGGATCATTTACTCTGAGAATATAGAAGGTATGGTTAGTAAGTTTGTGGATGATACCAAAATTGGTGGCATAGATGATGAAGAACGTTTTTCAAGATTACAAAGGATCTTAATCAAATGGGTTAATGGGCTGAAAAATGGCAGGTGGAGTTCAATCTAGATAAATGGGAGGTATTGCACTTTGGTACAACAAACAAGGTAGGGCTTGTACAATTAATGGTAGGGCCTTGGGTAGTGTTTTAGAACAGAGGATCTGGGGGTGCAGGTACGTAATTCTTTGAAGTTTGCGTCGCATATGGACAGTGTGGTTAAAAAGACGTTTGCACGCTTGCCTTCATTGCTCAGTCCTTTGAGTATAGGAATTGGGAAGTCATGTTGAGGTTGTACAGGACATTGGTGAGGCCTCTTCTGGAATACTGTTTCCAGTTCTGTCACCCAGTTATAGGAAGGATATTAATAAGCTGGAGGGGGTTCAGAAAAGATTTACCAGGATGTTGCCTGGTATGGAAGGTTTGAGTTATAAGGAAAGGCTGGATAGGCTGGGACTTTTTTCACAAGAGCAGTGAAGGACGTGATCTGATAGAAGTTTATGAAATAATGAAGGTACAGATAGAGTTAATGGTAGTTGTCTTTTCCCAAGGATGGGGGATTTCAAGACTAGGGGGCACATTTTTAAGGTGAGAGGAGAGAGATTTTAAAAAAGACATGAGGTACAGATTTTTTACACAGTTGGTGGTTCATGTGTGGAATCAACTGCCTGAGGACCTGGTGGGTGTGGGTACAGTTACAACATTTAAAAGACATTTGCATAAGTACATGAATAGGAAAGGTTTGGATGGATTGAAGATTTGAGTTAGCCTGGATAGGCTGGGACTTTTTTCACTGGAGTATAGGAGGTTGAGACGGAAACCTTAAAGAAGTTTATAAAATAATGAGGGACATGGTCAGAGTTAATGGTAGTTGTCTTTTCCCTAGGGTGGTGCTGTATGCATTTGACTCTAGTAGCATGGACACTGGACCAAATGTGGGTGTTGCTGGCAAGTACAGCATTTGTTGTGTATCCCTAATTGTGTTTGAAGTTGATGATGAGGTACCTTCTTGAACTCCAGCAGCCTTTGTGGTGTAGGTATACACACAATCCTATTTATGAAGTGAGTTCCAGGATTTTGATCTTGTGATGATGAAGGAACATAGTACAGTTCCAAGTCAAGATGGTATGTGACCTAGGAACTTGCAGATGGTGGTGTTCCCAGGTGTCTGCTGTCACCCTCTTTCTAGATGGCAGATGGCATGTGTGTAGACGTAGTGTCTGAGGAAGCTTGATCTGTTGCAGTGCATTTTGTGAATGGTGTACACTACTAACAATTATGTTGTGGCTGAGGGAGTAGAGTATGTAGGTGATGGATGAGATATTACTCAAGTGAGCTGCTTGCTTTCTCCTGGATTGGAGCTGCATTACTACAGGCAACTGGATGATAATTATCACATTTTTGGAAACAAGTGTTTTTTTCTTTTTTCTTTGTTATAGGTATACAATTTGTCTCAGAACATTCAAGAAGATGATCTGCAACACTTGCAGGTATCATAGCCAATTTTTCTTTTATCCATTAACGGAATGAGGAAGTTGTCAGCTAGGCCAGCGTTTATTGCTTTGTCCCTAACAGTTAAGAGTCAACCACATTGCTGTGGGTCTGGAGTCACCTGTAGGACAGACAAGGTAAGGATAGCAGTTGCCTTCCCTAAAGGACATAGGTGAGCCAGGTACTGTTTTTTCCAACAGTTGACAATGGATTCATCTGCCATGGTGGGATTCAGACCCAGGTCCCCAGAACACTACCCGGGTCTCTGGATTAATACTCCAACGATAATACCATTGGGCCATTGCTTGCTCCTAAATATGTTAGGAGGAAACCTTAATAGATTAGCCTTTAATATTTTGACATATTGAAGACCATGATTCCAGGTTCAGAAACTAAATTGCATTGAGATATATTTCAATATACCAATATTTACTTGAGTTTGGCGAATTATTTCGACCTGGTAGTGATTCTCTTGCAAATTATCTCTAACTTGCCCAACTGTAGCCAAAAGCTGCCAGCTCATTTCCAACAAGTTTCTGTTCTCCACCCTCCTAATCCAGAATGAGCCCTAACTTGAGTTTTCACAGTCTGATCATTGCTGACTCATGTTTATCAGCATCTAATAGATCAGTCCTCCATGTTGGAGCTAATTCAACATGTTTATACTCATTAGGTTTAGGAATACAGATGTTCAAAGTAAATGCCAGCAAGGTGAGTGTGTCTGCCTCATACAGTGTCACCATGCCAGGAGAGAAGGACTGAGCAGAACCAGGAGTGTCTACCAGTTCTTGCTGCCTCAAACTTCTGATACCTACAAAACGTATTATTTCTGTATTCAGCTAGAACTTCAAAGCATGAATCTATGCAAACTTCATGATTACGTAAACCTTTTTGTGCTCTTGTAGCTCTTCACGGAATATGGCCGACTGGCAATGGAAGAAGTGTATCAAAAACCCTTCCAGGTTTGTGTATTTAATGACTTTTTTGTATTGTGGTTGCTTTCCATGTTTGTTAGGTGCAAAATTGTTTCATGATTCTATTCCTTCGGAGGTCTAGAACTTTTGCAATGTTACCCAAAACCTTGTGATGAAAATTACCAGTTTATTTCTTAGATAGCTATGCACATATTCAAGATAACTGGATTCAACCTTTATTAATAAACTTATAGATCCCTCAAATATCAGGCAGGAGCAGCAAATGTTGGCAGAACAAAAGTTTACATTTTTTCACATAGCCAACTAGGCCCAATATTTGTTTCTGTTTGGCTATGCAGCTGAAACCTAATTCAAACCACAAAAACAATATAAAGATGGCTGATTTGTCCCAACTGTTAGACGCAGCTGGATACTTAACTGCATAAAGCCATAAGATATAGAAGCAATATTAGACCATTCAGCCCATCAAGTCTGCTCCACCATTTGATATGTTTCTTAACACCATTCCGCTTCCTTCTCCCTGTAACCCTTGATCCCCTTACTAATCAAGAACCTATCATTCATGGAGGAGAATGTGTTTATCAATTAATTGTATTAAGAACAGACATTTAAATATTTACAATTGTGGAATGTTGAGTTTTCGAATTTACAGTGGGTCTAGCATGCATTGTTGACTTGTCTATTACAAGATCATGGGCTCATATTTCGCTGAGACTTGAGCACTTGATTTTGGCTGATACTTCAGTACAGTACTGATTGAGTGCTCTGGTGTTAAATGAAGGATTTAAACCATGGTCCTGCTTACCTGTTCAAGTGATGTAAAAGATTCTTTAGCACCATTCAAAGGGGGCAAAAGAGCTCTTTGAGGGGTAGACATTGAGATGTTCCGATGGGAAGGACTATATGCAAGTGCAGACTCCTTTTTGAGTTGCAGAAAATAAATTCAAATAAAGTTAATTGTGTTCTTTCCATGTAGACTCTTATGTTTTTAATAAGAGATTGGAGTTATCCCTATGAACATCCATATGGATTGGAAGGAGGGAGGAGCTTCTTGGAAAAACGGTTGGAGGTAAGATTTTAAATGTTATCCTCTGCCCGACATCAGCAGAAGAAACAGTTCACCTGTTGAAATGTTGAGAGGTGATCTGCTATTGCTGGTTTGACATGCCTGTTAAAAATGGAAAAGTGTTCCTCCAGCATTTAAATTTTTAATTATGAAGATAAGACTTGGTGTTTGCTCGATGCTTTTAACTTTAAAAGATCTTACTGGAAGTGTTTGGGAGAAAAGTTACTCCTATGATGCTGCTTGGCCTGCTGTGTTCATCCAGCCCTGCACCTTGTTGTCTCGGATTCTCCAGCATCTGCAGTTCCTACTAATACTGAGCTACAGTTGTCTTTCTTCAGTTGACTATTATTTTATTCCTTAGATAAAACAAAATCAGCACGAAGAGCTACAAAACGTGAGGAGACATATTCATTCCTGTTTTGCCAAAATCACCTGCTTCCTAATGCCACATCCAGGTCTGAAGGTTGCCACAAATCCTAGTTTTGATGGAAGATTAAAAGGTATTCGAATACTACCTGAAGTTGCGTGCATATAATTGCTGCATAATAAATTCTGTTGGTTGAGGTGACCTGTTTGTTTTGTGACTAGATATTTGACCTTTTTAAAATTCTGTTGTGTATATTCATGAAGAGAATAGGAATCAGAAGTTTAAGTAATAATATTTTCTGATATTTTAAAATTCTTAAGTAGGATTGCTTTTGGCTCTCATAACTTGCATCCATTTATTTTTAACATTGAACCTCATTTTAGTTGCCTTGTAAATGAATTGATAGTGAGAATATTATGACAGGATTCCCCTGAGTTACTGACCCCCATGTTCTCATTCTTGTGTAAGTATTGTCCTTAAATTTTACTTTGCCTTGTGTTACTGATAGATTTTTATTTGTTATAGGCCAGCATATCGTGCCCACCCCTGGTTTTTCTGGTGAACTTCAGGAGTTGCTTGTTGAATTGTCACAGTCCTAGGGTATACATACATCCATAATGTTGTTAGTAAGGGATTTCCATAATTTTGACCTAGCAACGTAATTCCAAGTCAGGATGGTGCCTGGCTTGGGGGGAATCTTGCAGAAAGTTATGTTTCCATGATGCCCTTGTCCTTCTACATGGTTAAGTTGTGATTTGGAAAGTTCTGTCGAAGCAGCCTTGGTGAGTTATTGCAGTGCCTCTTGTAGATGGTACACTGCCACTGTGTTGATGAAAGGAGTAAATGTTGAAAGTAGTAGATGGTGTGCCAGTCATGCAGGCTGTTTCATCCTGGATGGTGTCGAGCATATCATATGTTGTTAGAGTTGTACTCATCGAGTGGAGAGTATTCAATTGTACTACTACTTTATGCTTTGTAGATAGTGGACAGGCTTATTGCAGAATACCCAGTTTCTCACTTGATGTTATAGCCACAGTATTTGTGTGGCTTGTCCAGTCAGTTTCTGACCGATGGCAATTCCCCTGGGTTGTTCATAGTGCAGGATGCAGCAATGACTGTTCTACTGAATGTCAAGGTGCAATTGTTAGGTTCTCTGCAGGGATGATCATTACCCGGTACTTGTGTAGCACAAATGTTACTTGCCATTTAGCAGCCCAAGCCTCAATTTTGTCTAGGTCTTATGCATGTACATGGACTGCTTCATTTTTCATGAGTGATGAATGTTGCTGAATAATGTAGAATCATTAGTGAACATCCCCACTTCTGACTTTTTATGATAGAGGGAAAGTCATTAACGAAACAGCTGAAGATAGTTTGGTTTAGGATACTACCTTGAGGAACTTCTGCAGTAATGTCCTTTGACAGGGTGATTGACTACCAGCAGCCACGACCGTCTTTCTTTATACTAGGTATGATGCCACCCAGTGGAGAGTTTTTTTCCCAGATGCAAGTGCTGCTTGAAAGCACTGCCAATGACCCTTTCCATACGCCTCTGTTAACATAAAACGTCAAGTATTGCATTTGAACTTCAAATAATCTTGATTCAAGGTTTAAAAAAATCTGACAGTTCAAGACATTACATCTAAAAATGATCTGAAGTCCATTTTTTGTGCAGAGCATGAGAATCTCAATTTCTAAGATTCTAAAGTATTCATCTCCCTGCCTGCATTACAGTTTGGCATTAAGTTTGACTTGCGAGTTCTATTGTTTAATGTGTTGGGCTGTAACAAAGCTTTACCTATTTAGGATGATGGGAGACAAAATGATAATTGATGTTTTTATTGCCATTGCGGTCACGCTATCCAATGGCAGTTTTTGCATATTCCCCAAAGAAAAGTTGATCACTCATCCAGTTTTTCTGGCCCAACGAAATGGCAGAAACTTCATGAATAAAGGCCTGCATTAACTCTCAATGTAACCACTGATAACCTTTTGTGGTCCTGTTCTAAATGCTTTGTTTTTGTATCTGACACAATTTTTGCAGGAATCTATAGTTGGATTAGCACTGGGAGAGGAGTACACTTTGTTTTCAGTTCAATGGTGAAATTTCCAACTTAAGACAAATGTTGGTCTGGCTTTTACAGCATGCCTGATGGGTTTGGATGCAACTGTTTATATTGAGAAATGGTAAATGTCGAACAAAGTTGCTTCATTTAGAACAGTTGAGAGACCAAGAGCTAATTTTTCCCAGTTATATTTTGAAGATTATGGGGCAAGTACAGTATTGAACATTCTGAGTACCTTGCTTCCTAAACTCAACCATCACCTATTTTAACTGTTCATCTTGCTATAATGATTTTCCGAAGTTAAACGCACGGCAACATGATTATCATACTCATCTGGTGTCCCACAGAATACTAATTGCCATTTTGGGGTAGTTTTTAAATACTTGTGGCTCCATCATTCACCCCTAATATTTTAGATTTGCATGTTTCTTTAACCTTTCAGATTTGCTATTTAACTATTTACTATCACACCCATCACTTTTTACAGCCCAAGTTGATTTTTTTTCCATTTAAAAATGTGTGGGGGCAGATGTTGGTTTCACTGTTTTTCTGATCATTATTAAAGGTGGTGCTCCACTCCTTGCAGTTGCATAAAACAGACATAGACATGTAAGATTCTGGGCAGAATTCAGCTATTTCTCTGCTCCAGTGGAGAACTAGGTTTTGGCAACTTGATGGGGGAGGGATAGTATTGAACTTGACAATTGGAAGAATTGAGACGAAAGGAACAGAGCTGTTGAATACTGATTTTGGTGGAGCCAGGAACAGCACAGATTCTTGGGCTAATCCTGGAGGCCAAAAACTGGTGACATAGCCCTTGAGAAAGAAACTGAGTCAGTCCTTTAGCTCCATTAGATGACCTTGGTGCAAGAAGAGTGTCATGACCCATGCTTTGACTGTTCCTGCCATTGCTCCCCATACTTGTCTTCACCCTTTAAATAGCCAAGCAGCTTTAAACCTCCGACCAACACCACTAAGAACATCCGCTCTTTGCAGGAGTGTAAGCCAAACCTGTTTGTTTCTGTGAATTACACTCTTTCTGCTTCTCTCCGTCCAGTTACAGTTTAAGTATAGGTTAGAAGCTCTCCCCCCAGAATTTCTGGCCTTGACTGGAGAGTAGCCAGAATTTTTTATATTTCAAAATTTCTCTTCAATAGTTGTACCTGTCTTTCAAGAGAAATAACAGTAGTTAGGTGAAAGATTGAGAAAATTCAGTGCATAATAGCAGCCTTTTATTGTTTTTGCAAGGAGCTCCTAACTATAACTAGATGGTCATTAAATTTAGATTAAGATTTGAAAGGAAGAACATAAAAAATAGGATCAGGAGTGGATCATCAGACAACTTTGTTCAAAAGTAGTTATTAAAACAAAATCTGAAACGCACAACAATTTGTTCATGTTATGTAGTCAACCAGAATAGTTTCAAAGCTTAAATTAACTGCTGGCATCCTATACACCAAACAGAAAATGCACTAAGGGAGTATAAGTCGAGGAACATAAACAGTTAGCTCTACACGCTTGTGACAACTTTTCAGTTCTTTTCTGATTCTGTTTTGGATTTCCAGTATTCACGGTATTTTTTTTTGATCATTACATTGTACATGGATAATAAAATATATGGACTGGTGATTATGTTTCACCTTCTATATAATTTTATGGATGATGGGCCAACAGCTGTAAACATTTTTTAAACCATTTAGGCCACTCTTTTTAATAATTATTTGCATCGAATTTTGGGGTGTGACTTAGCCTAATTTATTAAATTCTCGTATTCTATTTAAAAGAATATTGTATTGTGAAACAAGCTACTTGAGTGAAGACTGCGAGTTGATATGTTTACTTTAGGAATAGCTGTTGTAATTTATTATGATTTGCAAATTTAGTATTTTATCCTAATAGATATTGATGGTGACTTCAAGATGGAGCTCCACAATGTAGTGCCATTTCTACTGTCTCCTGAAAATTTAGTGGAAAAGGAAATTGGAGGGTCTAAGGTGACTTGTCGAGACCTTCTTGAATATTTCAAGGTAGGAAAAGTAAACAGTATCGTTTTTTTTAAAGCTTTTGTTGCAATTGTTTAATTCAGAAGGCTGTGTTAGCATATCAATAATCCAGTAATTTTTTTTGTGCCCTTCAGGCCTACATCAAAATTTACCAAGGAGAGGAACTACCTCATCCAAAATCTATGCTACAGGTACTTTTTAAAAATCCCTATCTTAAAAATATATATCTTCTACATATATATCTTGGTACTGATTTGATCAAGAAAAATATTTATACATATTCTCTTTCGAATGTGGATTAGAGATGGGATCAAGAGTAACATTGACAAAACTTCAACTCACAAATATTATCTTTTTGGCATACATGTTCCAGATTCCTTCAAACAAAATTAATATTGCTGTCAGCGAAGGATATCGAACAAGTTGGCACGGTGGCTCAGTGGCTGGCACTGCAGCCTCACAGCACCAGGGACCTGGGTTCGACTCCGGCCTTGGGTGACTGTATGGAGTTTGCGCGTTCTCCCTGTCTGTGTGTGTTTCCCCTCACAGTCCACAGTGCAGGTTAAATGGATTGGCCATGCTGAGTTTGCTATAGTGTGCAGGCTAGGTGGATTTGCCATGAGAAATGCAGGGTTACAGGGATGGGGTACGTGGGGTGGGCCTGGTTGGGATGCTCTTTGGCGGGTCGCTGTGGACTTGATAGGTCAAATGGCCTGCTTCCACACTCTAGGGATTCTGTAATTCTAAGTCAGACTTTTTCCTAAGTCTTACTTTCTTCTAATACATGCCTTCATTTTAGTGACTAGTTATTTGCTAATGGGCAACACAGCTGGATTCTTAATGGTTTTTATGTACCTACAATGTTGTATTTGTAATATATTTATTAATTGCCAAAGGAAATAATCACCTATCTGTGGAAAGTGTTTTATAAATGTGTGATGCTTATACCTAGATTGTCAGAATTATTGAAAACTATATGCCGCAAATGGAAGATTTCAATTTCAAGCTTCTGTGCAGCATCGTGCAAATTAATGTTTAAAATTTTGACCTAAATCAAATTCTTTCTGATGACATTAACCTGATGGCATATTTGAAATCAGCTGTTGAGTTCTAGCTCACTGTTGATCAAATGCATGACCATAGCGTTGAGTCAATCAGTACTTTAGTAGAAAATTTTATTCTTGTATCAAATTAAAATATTGTCATATTTCTTCAAATCTGTTGTAGATTTATCATCCCCAGTGAGAAGATCATGCTCCCATTATACTTCTCTTCCCAAAGAGAATGCATTTGCCTCTCAAAGATGTGCAGTTGTAAGAGGTATATGAGAAATGGACATGTTGCAATGGAGCTCTGGTACTTGTAGCTAGCTGCATTTGAAATGTCCAAATACTTTATTTTCCTTGGTTGCCCTGCTATCAGATTATTCATACAAAGTTGTTACTAAGTCTGAGTTTGTTTTTTTTAATTGTGCTCTGGTTCTAGTAGCTTCCTTTTGAGTAATTCTGGATTTGTAACTCTCTCTGCCCCTTTGGGAAGAAGTGGAAACTGAAGCATTGGGCTAATCACTTCCAATATCATCTCGAATGCTATTGATTCAGTTTCTGGTGAACTGACTCCCAGATCCTTGCATAATAATCATGCTGGCTTCCATAGAACTGAGAGCTTTTGAACGGACAAAAGTTTTGAACTGCAAAGTGCAATCAGATATCTGATTTAGTCGTGATTAATGGTTATGTACATCCATCTATCTCAAAGATTGATTCTGAAAAACGGAAAGAGTGAAGATTATTCAGTTCTTTGTGTGTGAAATCTCTCCTCTCAGGCGAAAGACGGTAAGAGAAGGATTAATTAAAGTAGTAATTGTTTTACAGGCAACAGCTGAAGCCAACAATCTAGCTGCTGTAGCAGGAGCAAAAGATGTCTACACCAAAGCCATGGAGATGGTATGCAGTTATGTTCCTCTGAAAAATGACCTGTATTCTGTGATGCAGTACAAATGTTCTGTTTTTGTATAGTGTTGATTCTGCATCTTGTATTATGTCTCTATATCATTTCCATGGCTTTAATTTCTGGTATGGTACTAACCACACTTCAAGTTTGATGGAGGAAATTTTTTTAATACTGTTGCCTATATTATGCAAGAGTAAAGTGAAGTGAGTTTCAAACATTTTCTATCTGTCAATGATAATGGGCAATCTATACAACATCCAAATTTTTGATCTGTTGTTTAGCTAGTCAGTTTAATTTGAGTTCATTGTTTTAAACATACTAGCAAATTGATAACACTTATAATTTTCTAACTTAATACACTACAAGTTCCTATATATAATTCCTGTGTACATCCAGTTAATAAAACCATAAGACACGGGAGCAGAAGATTTGCATTCACGTGCTCCATTCTGTTTGTGCACCACCCTTAAAAATGTGCATTTAGTTTCCATTGCCTTTCCTGATTCGTGCTTCCAAAATGGTTTTCCAGACTTCTCTGAGTTGAAGTCATGTCTGCTGTAATAACTTCAAAGCTTAGCTCTGCTAGTTAACTTGTTAAAAACAATCCTTTAACACAATTAATTAATACAATTAATTCGCAGTTCAGAGGAAGGGTCACCAGACCCCGAAACTTTAACTCTGTTTTTCCCTTCACAGATGCTGCCAGACCTGCTGAGCTTTTCCAGCAACTTTGTTTTTGTTCCTGATTTACAGTATCTGCCGTTCTTTCGGTTTTTAATTAACACTTATTACAGAGTGCATTACACAGTCCTTGCATGCCTAGTTCCCACATTCAACTGCAGGGCAAGTCTCCACATGCCTCTGCAGATTTCCCACTCTGTCCCAGATTGGACTGGCAATTCACATGACTCCTCCCTCAGAGCTCATTCATAAACCCACCTCTTTTATTACACATTGAATAATTAAAATACAAAATTATCAAAACAGTAATGGAAATGAACATTTTTACATTAGTCCATCAATATCTTAACCTGACAGGTGATTTTATTTTCTCGTAATGTTACTTAACTGACTGAGACTCTTTGAATGAGAGAGTTACTGTTGGATTCATTTCACAAGGAATTGCTTATGGTGCCATTGGTTCACCTTCCTTTGTTTCCTGTGGTATAGCAGTCTGGCCTATTTATGGCAAATCTGAGGTTTCAGTCCCCAGGCAACACGCACTTCCTGCTGGCATCATTGGATCAGATCATAACATTGGCTCGTGGAACGGCACTTGCCCACAGAAAAGGTGTGGATACTTGGTTAAAATCTTAGCCTGTTCTGGCTACAGTGACTCCTGGAACCCAGTTCTTCACCAACACTGGATTGTCTGTCTCAAATGCTCCTGCACTTTTAAAAGAATCATGGTTCCTCTGTCTTTGATTCCAGTCTCCCTGCTAAATTTCGGAACATCAACTTAATCTAATCTAAACTGAAGATGCATTAACAGCTCAGCTGTGGGGAGACCCAGTGGTCATATATGGGGTTATCCTATACGATGACTAAAAACCTAGTCAACTTGGTGTTTTAACGGCAAGGTGGTTGCTTCTTCAAGCCATCCTTAAAAGTCTTCACTGCTCTCTCGTCCAGTCCATTGGACGAAGGACAGTACATTGCCTTTCTGATATGTTTTATTTCATTATAAATCATACAATTCTAAAACAAGGCACTAGCAAAATTTGTTCCGTTGTCCGAAACAGAGGCTTCAGGTACCCTGTGAAACACTAGTGAGGGTTTTCAACTGTGCCGTATACAGTTGTGGACCTCCATTCACTTTCGAACGAGCATACACTAACAACAAAACATTGTGCCCATAAATGGTACCACATAGTTGATGTGAATCCTAACCCATTGTCGACTAGGCCATTCCCATGGATGTAGTGGAGCTGCAGCAGATACCTTCTGAAAATGGCACTGATTGCATTGCTTTACCACTCCTTCAATTGCTACATCAATGCCCAGGCCACTGAATATAGCTTCTCGCTCACATCTTCATTCTTAGACCTGCCTAGGTGGGTACTGTGTAACTGTTCTAGTAGTAATTCTGTTCCTGGCCCAGGAATAACCACTCTTGATCACAGGGATGATAACCATTCTCTCAACTAAGCTTATTTTTCCTGTTCTGCTAAGGCTTAATTTCTTAAAAGTCTTTTCATTTCTGCCAACCATACAGTATCATTGGTTTCACTTTTGATAACTGTGGATAAACAAAGAACAATGAACAATACAGCAGAGGAACAGGTCCTTTGGCCCTCCAAAGCTGTGCCAACAAATTTTGCTCTTCCATATTAAAATTGTCTTCACGTAACAAGATCCATAGCCCTCTATTCACTTTCTATTCATGTGTTCGCCCAGGTGCTTCTTGAATGCTGCTATTGTGTCTGCTTCCACCACCCCTGGCAGCGCATTCCAGGCACTCACCACCCTTTGTGTGAAAAACGTGCCTTGCACATCTCTTTTTAAACTTGTCCCCTCACACCTTGAACCTGTGTCCCCTAGTAATTGACCCCTCCACCTTGAGGGAAAAAAAACTCATACTTTCCACTCTATCCATGCCGTTCACAATCGTATAAACTTCTATCAGGTCACCCCTCAACCTCCTGCATTCCAGTGAAAACAAATCTTGTCTATCCAACCTTTCTTCATAGCTAATGTCCATTATGCCAGGCAACATCCTGGTAAACATTTTCTGTGCTCTCTCCAAAGCATCCACATCCTTCTGGTAGTGTGGTGACTAGAACTGTATGCAATGTTCCAAGTGTGGCCTAACTGAAGTTCTGTAAAGCTGCAGCATAACTTGTCTATGCTTGTACTCAGTGCCACGCCCAATGAAGGCAAGCATGTCATAAGCCTTTTTTACTACCCTATCTACCTGTGCTGCCACCTTCAGTGATCTGTGGACCTGCACACCCAGATCTGTCTGCATATCCATACTCCTAAGGGTTCTGCCAATCACTATATAATTTCCACCTGTACTTGACCTTCCAAAATGCATCACCTCACATTTGCCCATGCCTCCAACTAATCTATATCCTGCTGTATCCTCTGACAATCCTCCTCACTATCTGCAACTCCTCCAACCTATGTATCATCTGTAAATGTACTAATTAGACCAGCTACATTTTCCTCCTAATCATTTATGTAGATCATGAATAGCAGAGGTCTCAGCATTGATCCCTGTGGAACATCACTAGTCACAGTCCTCCATACCACCGCTACCCTGTCTCCTATGACTAAGCCAGTTCTGTAACCATCTTGCCCGGTCACCCCTGATAACATGTGACTTCACCTTTTGTACCACTCTACCATGAGGGACCTTATCAAAGGCTTTACTGAAGTCAGTGTGGACAACATCGACCGCTTTTCCTTCATCAATCATCTTCATCACCTCCTTAAAAAAAAACTCTATCAAGTTGGTGAGGCATGACCTTCCCCACACAAAATATGCTGTTTATTGCTAATCAGTCCATTTGCTAAGCTTATAAATCTTGTCCCTGAGAATCTTTTTTGATAATTTACCTACCACTCACGTGAGGCTCACAGGCCTGTAATTTCCTGGGTTATCCCTGTTACCCTTTTTAAACAATGGGATAACATTAGCTATTCTCCAGTCCTCTGGGACCTCACCTGTGGCCAAAGAGGATACAAAGATGTCCGTCAGTACTCCAGCAATTTGTTCTCTTGCCTCCCTCGATTATTCTGGAATAGATCCCAACAGTACCCGGGGACTTATCTATCTTAATACTTTTTAAGCTGTACAACACCTCTTCCTTTTTAATAGCAACTTGGCTTAGAAAAATGCAACACTTCCTTCCCTGAGAACATCCCCCACCAATTCCTTCTCTTTTTGGCAAACACTGATACACAGTATTCATTTCTGCTCCTATTCTTATGGTCTTATAGTCTTAACTATTATGGCTGAGTCCACCCAAACTGGGCAACAGTGTTAGTTCCACTGCACAGGCTGAGGGGAGACAGAAGGGCTTGATAGAAGTCTATAAAATTATGAGATGCATAGATAGGGTTGATGGTCAGAATCTTTTTCCCAGAGTAGAATTGCGTAATACTAGGGGGCATGCATTTAAGGTTTGGGGGGGAAAGATCAAAGGAGACTCGGGGGCAAGTTTTTTTACACAATGTGGTAGGAGTCTGGAACACACTGCCAGGAGTGTTGGTGGAGGCAGATAAAATAGGGACATGTAAGGGACTTTTAGATAAGCTCATGAATATATAAGGAACGGAGAGATATGGACCAATGGCAGGTAGAAGGAATTAGTTTAATTTGGCTTCATGTTTAGTACAACATTGTGGGCCGAAGGGCCTGTTCCTGTGCTGTACAGTTCTGTGTTCTCTATACATAAATCTCTATCTATCTATCCCAGGATGATAATCAGTGGTATATCCATAAGCCAGCAAGGGCAGCACCTAATGCTGTACCTGAGCCGAAGCTATTGGTGGAATCACCTTATCTTCCTTGAATAAACCCTGCAGTGAAATGCCTCCCATGTAGGTATTGATGGAAATTTTTGATGCCACAAATGATCACTATGCCCTCTCTCTCAACTTGTGAATAGTTGCTCTACATGTGTAAGGGTTCTGGACACATTTCCCACAGGTCTGTCTGAACCATCATTCATCTGTGTGATAAAGTTGCCCAATACCACAGGGGATGTGTCATGTTAGTATTGTCTTTTTGGTGCAGTTGAAGCGTACCAGTAAACATGACGATTGGAATACCTGCTTAACCTGGTAAAATATCTCTTTTTTTTGTCTGTGGTGCTTTCATCTCTGGTGTTTCTTTAATAATGTGCAGTGGAACTAACATTGTTGCCCAGTTTGGATGGATTCAGCCATAATAGTTAAGACCATAAGAATAGGAGCAGAAATTAGGCCATTCGGCCCATCGAGCCTGCTCCACCATTCAATCATGGCTGATAAGTTCCTCAACCCCATTCTCCTGCTTTTTCCCTGCAACCCTTGGTCCCCTTAATAGTCAAGAACCTATCTATCTCAGTCTTAAATGTACTCAATGACCTGGCCTCCACAGCCTTCTGTGGCAGTGAATTCCATAGATTCACCACTCTCTGGCTGAATAAGTTTCTCCTTACCTCTGTTCTAAAAGGTCTTCTCTTTACTCTAAGGCTGTGTCCTCTGGTCCTAGACTGTCCTACCAATGGAAGCATCTTCCCAACATCCATCTTGTCCAGGCCATTCAGTATTCTGAAAGTTTCAATTTGATCCCCCCTCATCCTTCTAAACTCCATGAGTATAGTCCCAGAGTCCTCAAACTTTCCTCATATGTTAAGCTTTCCATTCCTGGTACCCTACTTGTGAACCCGCTCCAGGACCAGTACATCCTTCCTAAGATATGGGGCCCAAACCTGTACACAATACTCCAAATGTGGTTGACCAGAGCCTTATAAATCCTCAGTAGTACATCCCTGCTTTTATATTCAAGTCCTCTTAAAATAAATGCCAACATTGCATTTGCCTTCCTGATGACTGACTCAACCTGCAAGTTGGACTAGAACTCCCAAGTCTGTTTGCACTTCAGACTTCTGAATTTTCTCCCCATTTAGAAAATAGTCCTTGCTTGTATTCTTCTTACCAAAGTGCATGATCTCACACTTCCCACGTTGTACTCCATCTGCCACTTCTTTGCCCACTTTCTTAACCTGTCCAAATCCTTCTGAAGCTTTGCCACCTCCTCACCATCTCCAGAAAAGATTTGAGTTCAGGGCTATTTTTAAGGGTCAGCACCTCCTTGATTGCTTTTGCCTTGTCCTCTATGGGGTGCAACCCCTGTGTTTCCACCCGATAATGCAGGTAAACCATCTCATTAGCCTGGAAAGTGCACTTCTCTCTTGAAGGTACTCCTGCTTCCTGGAATCTCTTTAGTATTGCTTCTAAATTTGACACGTGCTCTTCTTCATTTGGTCCTGTTACTAATATGTCATCCAAGTACACCTTAACACCCAGCAAGTCATGCAGTAAACTCTCTGTGGTTCTCTGGAATATAGCATACACTGAAACTCCAAAAAGTAAGCGGGTATTGTAGTAGAGCACTTTACGGGTGTTTAAAGTGACACGTTCCCTTGAGACATTGTCCAGCTTCAACTGCTGGTAGACATGACTCACATCTAACTCAGTGAACACTTGACCTCCCAGCCTGTTTCACATTTAGATCTTCAATTTTGGGGCAGGGTACTTGCCTAGATCTGCAGCTTTGCTCACTATCTACCTGTAGTCCCTACAGATATAAATATTTTTATCCCGTTTCACTACTGGCACAATGGGTGCTGCCCATTCTGCAAATTGGACCAGTTGAATGATGCCAGTAATGTAATTAAGGGTAAAGGACATCTTGAATATTCTACAGGTCAGAGAACTAGCTTGGATTTTTTAAAGGGCAGGCTGTGTCTGAGTAACCTGACGTATTTTGATGGAGCAAATTACTGCAGATGCTGGAATCTGTACTGAAAACAACAAACACTGGAAATCGCAATGGGAGAGAGAGCAAGCTAACGCCTCAAATCTAAATGATTATACATCAGAGCTGAAGTGAAGTGTGGAGGGGGCAACATTTGTGCTATAATTGGAGGGGTTGTAGAGTGCTGGGGGAGAAAAGATGTTAACAAGGTGTAGAGCTGGATGAACACAGCAGACCAAGCAGCAACATAGGAGCAGGAAGGCTGACGTTTCGGGCCTAGACCCTTCATCAGAAAAAAGGGTCTA